GTTACTGAAGCCAATTTCTCTCAACAGAGGAAGGCCCTTCTGCCAATATTTTCCATTCCTTGGATTCAAGACCCCAGAAAAAATAAATAGAATATTTTAAAGTAAAAGTTTACTCTAAAAATATAGCTTTTTTTTTTAAGAGAAGAGAATAACATCTACTTCATAATGCAGAAGAGCTCAGCTCCTTCTTTTACAAATTCCTTCCAAAGTAGGATCTTGATCTTAAACTTGTATAACTTAAGGATCCCCTGGAACAGCTCCCCCATAAAAAAGGGGGGAAACCTTCCCTGAAAGATAAAGGCACACCTCTATCTAGAGAATCTAAACAGGCTGGCTGCTTTCAAATATCAATTTCCCTTCCCTCACTTCCCACTTTCCCCACCTATAGCCATAAAGCTTCAAAACTCTTGGGGTTCAGTCCCAGAGAAACTTGTTATGCACATGTATAACTTGACTCCAACTCTTTGCTCCTAATTATGAAACAAGTATTGAAAACTGAACTTCACTGTGATCTCAAGCTGAGGAGTACCACATTTTATTTTGGAAACGTGAGCCAGAGAACACAGCCTCAGGACCAACCAGTCTGCAGTATGGCTCTGTTTATGCAAAGCTGAGGCTGCAATAATCACCTGTTTAGAGTTTAGTGGCTGTAAGGAAGGAACTAAAGACATGACCTCATAAAACACACAATACGATGCTACGGAAGAAGCCCAAGGGAACCAATGTAGAACTTCCAGACTGTAATGTGGCTTGCCCTGCCTATGGTTGATATGAACTGAGTTGATCCCAACATGTCCCTGAAAAAGGCATCCATAGACACTTTGTCAATTTGTAATCCAGCAGGAAGCAGGTGACGCAATCAAATTGGATAAATTGAAGAGAGTATAATAAAGGGACTGTTCACAGAGGCAGGCAGCTTAGGGAAATCACAATTTATTAGCACCCCTGGGCCAATAACAGTGGAGAGCTCTTACTACCCCAGATCTGAAGGGTCAAGGTGAGAGAGCAGTGGTGCAACCAGGAGGCGGAGAGGTCTATGTGGAGATGGGGGCCTGCTAGGAGCTAATGATGTTACTTTAGGGATAGAAGCATCACATGGCAGTCCCACAGGATTGCGAGGGAGCCAAGGGGACACACACCACCGTCTATAATGATGGAGAGCAGAACAAAGAGATGGCCAATAATGAAGGCTTTAGCAACATTTTGAGAAATCTGCTCTCTTCCTGTTTTAGTGCCATTGCTAATCTTTCCCATTAGACTGTAAGAGCCATTAAGGACAAGGACTTGACCTATTCTATATAATAAAAGGCTAATATGCAAATCAACCAAACAGTGGAACAGGTCACTATGATGCACACTGACCACCAAGGGGCAGACCCTCAATGCAGGAGCTGCTCCCTGGCGGTCAGTGCGCTCCCACAGGGGGAGCGCCACTCAGCCAGAAGCCATGAACCGGGCTCACAGCTGACAAGCTCAGCAGCAGTGGAGGGAGTCTCTCCTGCCTCCATGGCAGTGCTAAGGATGTCCGACTGACGGTAGGCCCACTTCCCGAGGTCCTAAGCCATCAGTCAGATATCCCCCGAGGGCTCCCGGACTGCATGAGGGCACAGGCCATGCTGAGGGGACCTACCCAAGTGCACGAATCTTGTGCACTGGGCCTCTAGTCTTGTTTATAACAGATAGTTTTCAAAGTGTTTGCTCTAGCAGAGTGCCTGGCACATGGTAAGTACTCAATATGTATTACTGAATGAACAGTGAGTTCAATCTGGCTAATGGGAGAGGGTGATTGGATTTAGGAAATGACGTTATTTAGAGATCAATTCTCTCCCAAGGATTATCCCACCTACACCTCTCTCAGGGCTCCCCACTGAATCTGAAGTTCTTTTTCCGGGGTGACTGTTGCTGGGAATTTACAATATGTCTTTTTTACTTCTATTTCTTAATGTTCAAATATTGCTTGATT